CTCCTGTACTCTCTGTTCACCCATGACTGCATGGCCAGGCACGACTCCAACACCATCATAGTTTGCCGACGACACAACAGTGGTAGGCCTGATCACCGACAACGATGAGACAGCCTATAGGGAGGAGGTCAGAGATCTGGCCGTGTGGTGCCAGGACAACAACCTCTCCCTCAACGTGACCAAGACAAAGGAGATGATTGTGGACTACAGGAAAAAAAAGAGGACTGAGCACGCCCCCATTCTCATCGACGGGGCTGTAGTGGAACAGGTTGAGAGCTTCAAGTTCCTTGGTGTCCACATCACCAACGAACTATCATGGTCCAAACACACCAAGACAGTCGTGAAGAGGGCACGACAAAGCCTATTCCCCCTCAGGAGACTAAAAAGATTTGGCATGGGTCCTCAGATCCTCAAAAAATTCTACAGCTGCACCATCGAGAGCATCCTGACTGGTTGCATCACCGCCTGGTATGGCAACTGCTTGGCCTCTGACCGCAAGGCACTACAGAGGGTAGTGCGTACGGCCCAGTACATCACAGGGGCAAAGCTCCCTGCCATCCAGGACCTCTATACCAGGCGGTGTCAGAGGAAGGCCCTCAAAATTGTCAAAGACTCCAGTCACCCTAGTCATAGACTGTTCTCTCTGCTACCGCACGGCAAGCGGTACCGGAGTGCCAAGTCTAGGTCCAAAAGACTTCTCAACAGCTTCTACCCCCAAGCCATAAGACTCCTGAACAGCTAATCATGGCTACCCGGACTATTTGCACTGCCCCCCCACCCCATACTTTTTACGCTGCTGCTACTCTGTTAAGTATTTATGCATAGTCACTTTAACTCTACCCACATGTACATATTACCTCAACTACCTCAACTAGCCGGTGCCCCCACACATTGACTATGCAACGGTACCCCCCTGTATATATAGCCTCCCTACTGTCACTTTATTCTATTGTATATATAGCCTCCCTACTGTCACTTTATTTTTACTTCTGCTCTTTTTTTCTCAACACTTTTTTGTTGTTGTTTTATTCTTACTTTTTTGTTTAAAATAAATGCACTGTTGGTTAAGGGCTGTAAGTAAGCATTTCACTGTAATGTCTGCACCTGTTGTATTCGGCGCATGTGACCAATAAAATTTGATTTGATTTGATTTGATTTGAACAGGGATTACAACAGAGGACTGTGGACAAACCCCTGGGGCGCCCCTGTGTTAAGAGTCAGTGTGGAGGTGGTGTTATTGCCAATCCTCACAGCCTGTGGTCTGCCTGTCAGGAAGTCCAGGATCCAATTTGTAAGTCGCTCTGGATAAGAGCGTCTGCTAAATGTCATCCAGTTGCAGCGGGTGGTGTCCAGACCCAGGGCTCTGAGCTTGGTGTCGAGCTTGGAGGGAACAATAGCGTTGAATGCTGAACTGTAGTCAATGAACAGCATTCTCACATAGGTGTTCCTCTTGTCCTGATGTGTTACGGCCATGTGAATAGCGATGGAAATGGCATCTTCCGTGGATCTGTTGGAGCGGTGGGCAAATTGGAGTGGGTCCAGTGTGCCTAGCATGCTGGCCTTGATGTGGGCCATGACCAGCCTCTCGAAGCACTTCATGATGACAGAGGTGAATGCGACGGGGCATTTGTCATTTGGGCATGTCACCTTGTTTTTCTTTGGCACTTGGACGATGGTGGTCTGTTTAAAGCAGGTGGGGACTACAGCCTGTGTCAGGGACAGGTTGAAGATGTCAGAGAAGACGCCTGCTAGCTGGTCAGCACACACTCTGAGCCAAGGATGCCATCTTGCCTGGCGGCTTTGTGAGTATTCATTCTTTTGAGAGTTTTCCTCATGTCAGCCTCGGAGAGCGAATGCACCTGATCGTCCGGAGCAGCGAGGGTATTCCTGGATGGCTCGGTATTGTCTGCCTCGAAGCGAGCATAGAATGTGTTAAGTTCGTCTGGGAGGGAGGCTTCGGTGGGCACCGCATAGCTGGATTTGCTTTTGTAGTCTGTGATTGTCTGTAGTCCTTGCCACATGCGACAAGTCTGTATTGTCTTTTTGCGTCTCTAATGGATTTGCGGAGCTCGTACCTGCTTGCCTTGTACGCGTTGCGCGCCACCAAGTCATTGGGGTTCATTCTGCTGACGTTGAATGCTGCAGTACGGGCTCTCAGCATTGTGCGGATATCTCTGTTCATCCAGGGTGTTTGGTTGGGGTATGTCTGGATTGTTATTGTGGGTACATCATCAACACATTTCCTAATTAAGCCTGTGACTGATGATGTATATTCCTCAATGTTGATGGATGAGGCCTGGGTGGATGAATCTTTGAACATATTCCAATCAGTATTCTCAAAACAATCCTGCAGCATTGAGTCTGCCTCCTCTGTCCAGCACCCCACTATTCTCTGTGTTGGTGGCTCCCTCTTGAGTTGCTGATTGTAGGCGGGGAGTAGGGACAGAGAGACATTATCTAATTGGCCGAAGTGGGAGCAGGGGATGGATTTGTATGCGTCACAGATGTTTGTTCTTGTTGGCTAATGATCTTGTACAGTTCGCTGAGTGACGCCTTAGTGTTTGCTTGTGGCGGTATGTACACAGCTGTTATAATAACACACATGAATCTCTCGGCATATAGTGGGGTCGGCTTTTTAGCATCAGAAACTCCAGGTTGGGTGAACAGGAGCTCGCAATGTTTTCAACTTCGGTACACCAGGATTTGTTTATGAGGAAACATACCCCTCCCCCGACTCTTAACTGAAGCCGCCGTTCGATCCATTTAAAATATGGAGAAGCTGTCTGGTTGAATAGCAGAGCCGAGTGTATTGTCCGTAAGCCACGTCTCAGTAAAAACAGACATAGCATTCCTTGATGTCCTTCTGCGATTGAAGGCCTGCTCTGAGTTCACAAAGTTTATTTTCCAGCAATTGGACATTAGCCATCAGGATACTAGGAACAGGAGGCAGTTTAGTTTGGATGTATTTATGCATTTATATTCCAAACAATAGCCAGTGTTTTGGAACACTGGCTTTTGTTTTTGAATATTAAACAATAACCCTACGTACATGCTTTGCTTTCTGTGCGAGCTTTCCCCTTGTAAGGATTATTGTCAGTGACAATATTGCGTGTATAACCTTTTATGTTTTGCTTAAATCGGTCAAGCTGCCTACCTACAATCCAACTACAGTGGATAGGTTACAGTGACCAGTTGTCTGGGTCTATCAAGTCCCTGTGGAGCAGCCTGGGAGAAGACTGAAGGGGGAGGGCATGAGGATCGTCATCCTCTAGGTAGCACTGAGGCAAACTGGTGAGACCTTTACTGACTGCTGTTGGGATTCCTGAGGTGGAACCACTAACTCAAATCAACACTCCTATTGCCTTGACTCACGTGGCAGAGCAAATCTTTTTTTTTTACTGCCCCCTGACCTTTGAAAAATAGTATGTTTATGAAAGACTACCTGAGAGGAATAAAATAGGTTTTACTTCTTGAGTTCAGCTCTGATTTCAAAGCACAAACTAAGACGTCAAACAATGAATACCAAATGTGGATGAAACGTCTACAGCTGATGCAACCCTTGCTGTGTGCCACCACACCATGATGTTTTCTTTGTGTCTCGAATTGAAATCAGTACAGCTCCTCATTAGAGCCCCAACCAATGACTGTATATATGAATGGACAACGCCGTCGATCATGTGACACCGTTCATTCCTATGTGAAGACTCCATAGCACATTGAAGTTAAATGAAGTCGGTAAAGATGGCATCTCAAGGAGACATAACATGCGCAGTTTGAGCTACTCCAGGAAGTGACGTTGCAGGTTAGCTCAGTGCTGCCCGCGCTCATTGAGTAACTCAAGTTGAAGGCCGACCAGGGTAATGCAGTCTGCCATTAGCAACTAAATTATCCTTATAACTTGTTCTGTGTGTGATTTTAAAATAATTGGTTCAAGGACATACATCTGGTATATTAGAAGCAATTATTGGTACCATGATTGTCTTCTAAAAAAGGTTTTATTTACACGAAGATTACAATTTTTCCATTCACTGGGGATCCTGTTTTCTGCAAACAATGCCTGCAGTTCCGCGGTCGGCCTTGAACTTCTGTGGCTTCAGTGAGAGGGGGCAGTCGTTCTCCCCTGGCACCAACACAGGGGCAGAGGAGAGGAAGCAGGGGCTCAGCTCTCTCCCCACTATCCCTGTCAGGGCACTGGAACATTGGATAAAGGGAATCGGACTGAGTAGGTAATGTCCAGGGGGTGTATTGCTGGAATCATGGCCAGATTCTGTCCCTCCTACAGCTGCATTGGTTTGGGGGAAACTATAAAAACAATGCCTTAACTTGAGATCTTAATTGCAACCAGAGCAGGCTTGTTTACTGACTGAGAGTCAAAAAGAAAACTAGAGAGTTCTCCACCTACTTCCTGTGTACTAATGAACGAACAGTTTCACTCCTACTCTTAATTATGTATAGCTTAGTTGTGATTAATGTCACCAATTATTTACAGTGTGATAGGCATTAGAATAGAGTCTGTTAGTTTTTATTTTCGCTTTTTAAGTCTTGTTTGCTATTATTTCCCCTCATGTGCTGGCAAAGGCAAATTCATGACAGCGTTCCAATTTTTCTGATGTCTCTGTAATTTCGACTGTCTCTCTTCATCTTACGGTGGGGAGTGCAGACCAATGGAGCTGCAGTAAGCAGTTGTACCTAAGAAGACAGCATAAAAAGCCTCATTGGTGGTTATGTGGGCAGTCAGTGTTCCAGGCCTTTCATGTGCCCCCTGCAGGCCCCAATGCTTCCCCTCGCCCTGCTGGGTCCTTTACTGTAATATCCTCACATTCGCATCAACAAGTTACACAATTAACCACATAGCTTTATGTACAAGGTAAAACAAAAAAATCAGCCACATTGGAAAATGCTAAAATCTTTTGAGAATTATTTATTTGAGCCTATCCCTCAGATGACTCTGGGCCTGACAATTCACTTTAGCTCCATCCACCCTGAACAGCTACACATTAATTCAGGTTGAACTTCCTGTGAAGGAGGAAGTAAAGTCTACTGAATCAATCTTCCTCTCTGTTCTCATTCTCCTCAGCACAGCCCAGTCAGACCTGACCACAGCTCCAGTGGAGGCTGCTGAGGGGAGGACGGCTCATAATAATGTCTGGAACTGAGCGAATGAAATGGCATCAAACACATGAAAACTATGTGTTTGATGTATTTAATACCATTCCACTAATTCCGCTCCAGCCATTACCACGAGCCCGTCCTTCGCAATTAAGGTGCCACCAACCTCCTATGCACAGCTCTCAACACAAGCCTGTAACTCTTGGGGGGTTTCTAAAGTCATGGGTGCCACCTCACCACAAGTTTTCCCAGCAGTCCTCTCTTTCTACAGTATGTGTGCTTGATTGCTAACAGCTGTGCCCATTTCTCTTGCTACATTTTCTGTTGCTTCAAAATGTACTCCTGCCAACCCCTATGCAAAGCCTGATTCATGCGTCACCAAATAAAAACACAGACTGGCTTTATGGAGGAGGAGGGCATGATGGAGTTCATTATAGTCTATTTTCTATGGAATAATGGACCATACCCCTTAGCAAATTACAAGTAAAAATGTTAACACAAGATATTTTGGCTTGGATTTCATAGTTCCCTATTAAAAGATAACTTATTTAAAAACCTTATTGTTTAATAGTTGAAAGTCACAACAGAAACTCTGACAGATTTAAACAGGTCAATGAACATCATGTGGCGATATAATAGTATTGCTACAGTATGTTTTAGAGACTCCTGTACAGAACACTGTAATGCGGTTAGTTACAGGTTGCTTGATCAGGAAAATTGCAAAGAGAATTCAATTTTCCTGCAATGGAAACCGTGACGTGTTTCAGAGAGCACTGGGTTCCATATGACGCAGGCAGAGTTGGATTGTAGAAGGGGGCCTGATCATTGGCCTCACATGACCTTGCTCTGTCTACATGTATCCAGCTTGTTGGGTCTTACCTTATCTCCTGGGTGTGGTCGCATCAAAGATACACGGTCATAGCCTTTCCTCAGCAACACCCATAGAGCATCCAGTTTGCCCTGCAATCACAGAGCAGTACACAATACCAATAAGACCCTTTAAGATGCTTTTTGTACATGGTGTGGGTGGGTGTGACTATAAATCACTATAAAACATACATTTACACACTATACTTATACTTTACATGCATTTCCAGGGATTATCTTCGAACTCAAACCATAACTCCACAATGTTCTCAATGCATATCTATCTGTCACCAATTAGAGGGTTCACTTTGTAGATTGAAATTCAATTTAATGATAAAACCTCTGACCCAGATTATTATCAAAGCCAGAGCCTGAACAAATTATATTTGCTCATTGTGAATTCTGCATAGACCCAGCCATTGCTAAGAGGTTGGGGAAGGGGGGCAGAACAAAAATAATCTGTTTTTCTTCACAAAACTGCTGGTTCTGCAGCCCTTGCCCCCTGGAGGTCAGTCCGGTGTATATCTGGTTTCTATTAGCCATCTCCTGCTGACTGTCAGGACATATAGAACAATGCCTTTAACTAGCGCCTGACCCTGTGTGTAGGGGCTCCATGCCAGTGGTCACGTAAGGACTGGGATCTCAACACTAAAATATCCCACATGAAATGCCTACATAATAAACTCCAGCTTCAACCCACCCTATCAGTCTATACATGGCCATATATAAAGGAAGCTATGTTGAGTATGTGATTGAACTTGACAGCTGTGTGTCCAATGTGTTTCTTTATATTGGCCAGGTCAATACCTTAATTGGTGAGTACCACTTGTGAGGGCCTGGAGGCTTGCGCATGCCATTGTTGAGAATGCGAATCGGGGTCTGTATAAACTCCTGCTCGGGTATCTTCACCCTGGCGTTCTTGGCCTTCTCCAGCTTGGCTCCCTCCTCAGTAGAGCCTTTCTCACCCCAACGCACCTGACAAATAACAAGAGGTTTTCAGACCTGTCTAGCTTCATTTCAACCACATTCAAGCAGTTGGATCAACCACTAAGTGTGTGCTTGGTTGTTTGCCGTTGCTGATCTGTCAAACAGAGTCTTCCTATATCAAATAGCATGGAGAGGAAAGCTGTAGATTGAGAGTGAGGGCAGGTACATTACAGTAGTATGAAGTACAGTAGTGGGAATGAAAGCTAGTTGTCAGAATTTAAATGCAACAGGGCTCCAGGGAAGCTCACCTCCATCCTTTTGATTCCACCCACACCTCTGCCCCCATAGTAGGAAGCATCGACCGTGGGCCACTTCTTCTTGTGCATCCAATCTGATTCCTCATCCTGAAGTGGGGGGAGATAGAGAGAGTGTGTAAAGACAGGTGTCAATATCTCACATTTGTTTCACAGTATCTAAGACAGGGTTAATAAAAATTCAGGTCTGAGATGATTGATCATTTCATACACACTGGCACTGTTGGTTCTGAGATACAGTTTAAACACCAAGCCCCCTGCCTCTCCATATTTCATATACCCTACTCTCAGTCTAATAATTCAGGTTCTGGGTATAATTTCCTTTACTGTCTAAATCAGTCTCCATCTACTCACTCTCCCCCTCGCCTCCTTATCTCCAGTCCCGTCCGTGGCGTACATCAGATCAGAGGAAATGACAGAGCCCACCTCCTCATGTTTCAGCTCTTTAACAGGCCCAGATTCAGACTAATCAAATTCATCAGGACTATGATCAGGGCCTGCCAGAGAGGAGGCGGCAATAACATCAGGCTGTCGGTATCACCCTCACTGACCCTCAGAGAGACACAGACAATGGGCAAAGAGCTTCACAGAAAACTGGAGGAGATACCTCCTATATGATCTAATTGAAATGGAGTGGGGGAGATGCTTTCTTCACCCTTTTTGTGTGGACATTCCATATGCTGGGTTAATGAGGTGATTTTACGACAATCGATGTCTTACAAAATCAACATCTAAAAGAAGCACTGGTATAAACATAATGATATCAGTTGAGAAGACAAGTACTTGGACTACAGTATACACCTGCCTCTCTATTCTTTCCAGACGACAACCATAGTTGCATCCCCCCACCCCCCCAAAAAAGGGTTTATACTAAACTGAAATAATTGCAACATTTATGAAAATAGTATTTGCTGTAAAAAAGCTTAATTCCATTCAAATTAGTCAGGTTAGATAGAATTCTGTTGACAGTTTACAATGTTTTGTAACTAGAGTCATTTGCGGTGCTGTCTGTTGTTCACTGTGAAAGTATTTGTTGTTGTGAAGTATTGTTTGATTCATCTGATAAGTCAGTGGATTCCCAGTGGTCTGGAGGGATCTCAAGGAAAGGACTCCAAACAGATGGCTCTTAAATAAGGCCTTAATTGAAACCTTAAACTAAAATAAAATCCCATACAGTGAAGTAAAGATACAATTATTATCAGCTTTATTTTTATTATACATGGGGGGGTATAGAAATTGATTATCAGTTTGTACAGTGACCAGAGAAGGGGCTGTTCAAATAAGCTCTCCTGCCTTTTTTATCAGAATGTATTTGCTGGGAGTAAGGAGGGGTTTAGGACTACATGAGGTGTGGGAAAAGACAGGTCTTCATAGTGGGAGGGTGTTGTCCTGACCATACTCTGGTTGATGGATACAGTACTACATATCTATCATGACATGACTGTAAGTCACTTTGGATAAAAGCGTCTGCTAAATGGCATATTATTATTATTATTATTATGACAATACTTCAAAGACAAAACCACAGCAATTGGGCGGAATAAATATCTTGGTCATATGTCAGTCTATAAAATCATGGGGAATATTCCAAATGGTCAGTGAGGTTTGAGATTATTGAAGAAAATGGACCATAAGCAATGGTTTCCAACACCTATTAACATTCCAAATGGTTTTGCTACATGTCAGTCAGTCCACTATATCCTGGTAGCCTGCAGTACTGTATCTTTCTTGTGGATAGGAAATATAAATCTAGGATAACTGTTGTTCACTAAAACGCTCCACCAAAAGTATTATTACTTTACCTATAAAACAAATGGCTGAAAGAGTGTTTCTCTTCTGCTTAGTGGCCATTACATTTAGAGCCATAGCATTGTGCTACAGTGAGTGAATAGAGACTTTTCTACCCTTCCAGAGACAATCTCTAACTATAAAGTCAGACATACTGTGGAAAATCTAACCCACACTCCAACAGTAATCAACATAAAGTGTTACTTGTTTTTTTTTGTTATTGTTTTTTTCTTACCGAACTGTCTTCCACTACTGGTGGTGGTGGCTCATGGATAATCTGGGGGGGGGGTGAAGAGAAAGAGTTTACACTGTAATGAGCATGTAAGAAAACATACATGCACTTCAAAATACACATTTCAAAACATGATTTCATGAAAACACATGGCTCAGGAATAGTTTTTTTCTCTCCCTTGTTCTACTATTTACAAGCGACTGACCTAGAAATCTGCCATCCAGATTCCTAAACCTGGTATGTTGGTTGGGTGGGGAGAGGAAGAGGGATAGGGGTGGGGGAGAGTAAAGGGCATGCGAGTGTATGCTCCACGCTCACTTGTTTTTCTGTTTTCAACTATGATGAAATTCAAGGAACCCTGTGTAAAACATATTCCAGGCAAAGGACATCTTAAAACATTTTACAGACAGTGATTAACTACCAGCTCCTCCTGTTGGATTAGGCAGAGCCCTGTGATGATGTAGTAGAATATTACAATAATCTAAATGCTTAGTAAATATAGATAAAACTGTATTTTCCTCAAATTCACTTGGCTCAATCTATAGCAAAATACATGCTTGTGATGTGTCCATGGCTAACAAAACGTTGAGCAACTATGACTGTAAGCATTTAGAAAATAACCTGGCCAAGGCAATTAATATACATGACTTGAAACTATACTTATTTTCCTCTGTGCTTCCCAAAGGTTGGAATAGTAGCTGATTTCCCATGGTAACCAAGCATAACTTTCCTAAACAGTGCTGGGCAAGGATTTCCACTGAAAATAACTGACAAGAACTATAAAGCTAAGGAGAGAGAGTAACATAGTAAAAACTGACATCTTTTTCTGCGTATTTCCAACTTTTCAGTTTCCAGGCTTGTAAAACAGATATTGAATGGGCAATACATGCTTCAATTCCATAGACCAGAAGTGTTGCATTTTGTTAGGCATGGCTGGGAGGGAGAGGCAGTAGATTATTATGCAAAATCAGGTGGCGTGGAGTGATTCTGAGAATGACTAACCTCTGTATTCTGGGAAAAATATGTGACCTCATGGAATTTGTTTTAGGAGCTTTGACAAACATGAACACTGTGTGATTGTGTAACCTACTTCCCATATCTTGATGATGGCGTAAGTTTCCTCTCTCCTCTCAATGTTTTTGTCTAAATACTAGAACAATACTGAGAAGCTACATTGCCCTTGACCTCCATGAGCTGAGGGGGCAGCGGTTCTGTGAACTCCAGTGGAACTAATGACTTCAACAGAGGGACTAATTACTTCAGCACACATTTACCACTGGGCTTTGACCCCTGGTGACCTCTGGTGACCTTTGGGCATAATGGACTAACAAAATCAATTGGAGGCCAAAAAGGCCAAGGAGTCTCATCCTTTACTGACTCATATAACCCTCTCACCATGGGAATGTTGTTCAGGTTAGCAAGGTTCTCTGAGTGTGCCAAGGTCAGACAAAACAACTCTGGAAAAGAAATCTGTGATCATCTGTGAGCATTATCACGGTGTATAAAGAGTTTAAAGAGTTGTCTAAGAAAATACTTAGTGGAAATGCTGTAAGCTACACATAGGTTTACCTACCGTATAGGGCAATCTGTGTTTAATTTAAAAAGGTTAAAGCTTGTAAGACACTGTCCATGAGTGTGAATATGACAGATAGTTTATGTGACTCACCACAGTGCAGCAGAGAGGCCAGAACCACCAGAGCAGCATGAGGACTAAGAGCATCATGAGGATGAGCAGGGCGATGGCCAGGATGGTTCCATCAGACTGGGACAGACAGAGAGTGAGGGACACCGGTCAAACTCAGTCTCAACAACAGTGCAAAGGCTGAGAACCATCAGAAACTTCAAGTGCCTGTTGTTGTCTAACTACAGGGGAATAACATAATAAGGCATAGTTTGAGACAGTTACAGTGCCTTGCAAAAGTATTCATCCCCCTTGGTGTTTTCCTATTTTGTTGCATTACAACCTGTAATTTAAATGGATTTTTATTTGGATTTCATGCAATGGACATACACAAAATAGTCCAAATTGGTGAAGTGAAATGAAAAAAATAACTTGTTTCAAAAAATTCTAAAAAATAAATAATGGAAAAGTGGTGGGTGCATACTGTATGTATTCACCCCCTTTGCTATGAAGCCCCTAAATAAGATCTGGTGCAACCAATTACCTTCAGAAGTCACATAATTAGGTAAATAAAGTCCACCTGTGTGAAATCTAAGTGTCACATGATCTGTCACATGATCTCAGTATATATACACCTGTTCTGAAAGGCCCCAGAGTCTGCAACACCACTAAACAAGGGGCACCACCAAGCAAGCGGCACCATGAAGACCAAGGAGCTCTCCAAACAGGTCAGGGACAAAGTTGTGGAGAAGTACAGATCAGGGTTGGGTTCTAAAAAAATATCAGACACTTTGAACATCCCACAGAGCACCATTAAATCCATTATAAAAAAATTGAAAGAATATGGCAACACAACAAACCTGCCAAGAGAGGGCCTCCCACCAAAACTCACGGACCAGGCAAGGAGGGCATTAATCAGAGAGGCAACAAAGACACCAAAGATAACCCTGAAGGAGCTGCAAAGCTCCACAGCAGAGATTGTATCTGTCCATAGGACCAATTTAAGCCGTACACTCAACAGAGCTGGGCTTTACGGAAGAGTGGCCAGAAAAAAGCCATTGCTTAAAGAAAAAAATAAGCAAACACGTTTGGTGTTCACCAAAAGGCATGTGGGAGACTCCCCAAACATATGGAAGAAGGTACTCTGGTCAGATGAGACCAACATTTTGCTTTTTGGCCATCAAGGAAAACACTATGTCTGTCGCAAACCCAACACCTCTCATCACCCCGAGAACACTATCCCCACAGTGAAGCATGGTGGTGGCAGCATCATGCTGTGGGGATGTTTTTCATCGGCAAGGACGTCAGAATTGAAGGAATGATGGATGGCGCTAAATACAGGGAAATTCTTGAGGAAAACCTGTTTCAGTCTTCCAAAGATTTTAGACTGGGACGGAGGTTCACCTTCCAGCAGGACAATGACCCTAAGCATACTGCTAAAGCAACACTCGAGTGGTTTAAGGGGAAACATTTAAATGTCTTGGAATGGCCTAGTCAAAGCCCAGACCTCAATCCAATTGAGAATCTGTGGTATGACTTGCTGTACACCAGCGGAACCCATCCAACTTGAAGGAGCTGGAGCAGTTTTGCCTTGAAGAATGGGCAAAAATCCCAGTGTCTAGATGTGCCAAGCTTGTAGAGACATACCCCAAGAAACTTGCAGCTGTAATTGTTGCAAAAGGTGGCTCTACAAAGTATTGACTTTGGGGGGGGGGGTGAATAGTTATGCATGCTCAAGTTTTCCGTTTTTTTGTCTTATTTCTTGTTTGTTTCACAAGAAAAAATATTTTGCATCTTCAAAGTGTAGGCATGTTGTGTAAATCAAATGATACAAACCCCCCAAAAATCTATTTTAATTCCAGGTTGTAAGGCAACAAAATAGGAAAAATGCCAAGGGGGGTGAATACTTTCGCAAGCCACTGTATTGGTTCATGTGAAGCTTTGATGGGAGTACCGCATGGCACATAGTTGTGGTGCACAGTGGTGTGGTGCATGTTCTACTTACACAGCTCACAGTTGTAATGGTGACTGAACTGGAAATGAAACTAAGACCTTCATTCATGCTGACATAGAGGTTGGCTGCCCTGGAACATAAATGGAGTGTAAAGAGATAGAGTGTGGTGAGGATGGGTGACAGAAATATCAGCAGATAAATAGCAGATAAAGATAAAACCTGATATTCATTCAGTGATGGTAGTACTTACATTCCATCTTCCTGTAGAATGGGGGCAGGACAGAGAAGATATGTATCTTCCACTATTAATGGCTTCACACCTAGAGGAGTAGAGGAGAACGAAGGGTCACAATATTGACCCATACACAAACCATAATGGTTCTGCTGTAGTCAGAGTGTAATTCAGACTGCACAGATCAAAATTCAATTTCAAACATCAGAATCCATTGACCTTTTGAGAAGTGGCGCAACTGCATACATGTATCAGGAGCTTAGACGTACAGTGGATTCAGAAAGTATTCACACCCCTTTACTTTATCCAAGCCTAAATAAGTTCTGTAGTAAAAATGTGCTTAACAAATCGCATAATAATTTGCATGGACTCATTCCGTGTTCAATAATAGTGGTTAACATGATTTTTGAATGACTACCCCATCTCTATACCCTACACATACAAATATCCGTAAGGTCCCTCAATCGAGTAGTGAATTTCAAACACAGATTAAACCACAAAGAACAGGGAGGTTTTTCAATGACTCACACAGAAGGGCACCGATTGGTAGATATGTAAAAATGACCCCAGCAGGCTGTGTGGGCATAAACGTGCTTTCCCCATCCTGATGAGCACTCCCACAGTTTTCCCTCCTGCTGAACTTTTCCTCCTGTGGACTGAATCCCTTTATGTCTGGTGTTTAATTGTGTGTGCATCTAAACGTACAGTTGAAGTTGGAAGTGTACATACACTTAGGTTGGAGTCATTAAAACTTGTTTTTCACCACTCCACACATTTCCTGTTAACAAACTATAGTTTTGGCAAGTCGTTTAGGACATCTACTTTGTGCATGACACAAGTCATTTTTCCAACAATTGTTTACAGACAGATTATTTCACTTATAATTCACTGTATCACAATTCCAGTGGGTCAGAAGTTTACATATACTAAGTTGACTGTGCCTTTAAACAGAAAATTATGTCATGGCTTTAGAAGCTTCTGATAGGCTAATTTACATTATTTGAGTCAATTGAAGGTGTACCTGTGGATGTATTTCAAGGCCTACCTTCAAACTCAGTGCCTCTTTGCTTGTCATCATGGGAAAATCAAAAGAAATCAGCCAAGACCTCAGAAAAAACATTGTAGACCTCCACAAGTCTGGTTCATCCTTAGGAGCAATTTCCAAACGCCTGAAGGTACCACGTTCTTCTGTACAAACAATAGTACGCAAGTATGAAAACCATGAACGTACTTTGGTGCGAAAAGTGCAAATCAATCCCAGAACAACAGCAAAGGACCTTGTGAAGATGCTGGAGGAAACAGGTACAAAAGTATCTATATCCACAGTAAAACAAGTCCTATATCGACATAACCTGAAAGGCCGCTCAGCAAGGAAGAAGCCACTGCTCCAAAACTGCCATAAAAAAGCCAGACTACGGTTTGCAACTGCACATAGGGACAAAGATCGTACTTTTTGGAGAAATGTCCTCTGGTCTGATGAAACTAAAATAGAACTGTTTGCCCATAATGACCATAGTTATGTTTGGAGGAAAAAGGGGGCAGCTTGCAAGCCGAAGAACACCATCCCAACTGTGAAGCACGGGGGTGGCAGCATCATGCTCTGGGGGTGCTTTGCTGCAGGAGGGACTGGTGCACTTCACAAAATAAATGGCATCATGAGGAAGAAAAAGTATATGGATATATTGAAGCAACATCTCAAGACATCAGTCAGGAAGTTAAAGCTTGGTCGCAAATGGGTCTTCCAAATGGACAATGACCCCAAGCATACTTCCAAAGTTGTGGCAAAATGACTTAAGGACAACAAAGTCAAGGTATTGGAGTGGCCATCACAAAGCCCTGACCTCAATCCTATAGAAAATGTGTGGGCAGAACTGGAAAAGCGTGTGCGAGCAAGGAGGCCTACAAACCTGACTCAGTTACACAAGCTCTGTCAGGAGGAATGGGCCAAAATTCACCCAACTTATTGTGGGAAGCTTGTAGAAGGCTACCCGAAACATTTGACCCAAGTTAAACAATTTAAAGGCAATGCTACCAAATACTAATTGAGTGTATGTAAACTTCTGACCCACTGGGAATGTGATGAAATTAATAAAAGCTGAAATAAATCATTCTCTCTACTATTATTCTGACATTTCACATTCTTAAAATAAAGTGGTAATCCTAACTGACCTAAGAGGGAATATTTACTAGGATTAAATGTCAGGAATTGTGAAAAACGTAGTTTAAATGTATTTGGCTAATGTGTACAGTGAGGGGGAAAAGTATTTGATCCCCTGCTGATTTTGTATGTTTGCCCACTGACAAAGACATGATCAGTCTATAATTTTAATGGTAGGTTTATTTGAACAGTGAGAGACAGAATAACAACAACAAAAATCCAGAAAAACGCATGTCAAAAATGTTATAAATTGATTTGCATTTTAATGAGGGAAATAAGTATTTGACCCCCTCTCAATCAGAAAGATTTCTGGCTCCCAGGTGTCTTTTAGACAGGTAACAAACTGAGATTAGGAGCACTCCCTTTAAGAGTGTGCTCCTAATCTCAGCTCGTTACCTGTATAAACCCACCATTAAAATTATAGACTGATAATTTCTTTGTCAGTGGGCAAACGTACAAAATCAGCAGGGGATCAAATACTTTTTTCCCTCACTGTATGTAAACTTCCGACTTCAACTGTAAGTGCCTTGAATCTGTGTCATATTATGTGGAGCTTTGTGGTTTACTGTGTACAATTACCGTGTGTTGAGCTTGTTTGCTAGCTTGTGGTCCCGCTAACATTAGCACTACCGTTAGCATTTTAGCATGAGCATTTTAGCATGACTGTTAGCGTTTAGCCGTTTATTACCATTGCTAATTCATGGTGCTAAGCTATTTTCTGTTCTTATATATATATTACTCACGCTCATTGTAATTATATTCTATATATATTTCAACATTACTGTAATGTTTATTTGAGCACATTTGCCTGAGTTTCATGTGTACAAGTCCAAAAGGCTGTTTAGTCTATTGCCATGTGACTACGCCCTATGCCTGCTGTAGTTAGCCTTGCTGTTATATATTACCTTGCTAGCTAGCCAGCTTGTCCAGTAGGAAATGGCCGTCAGATGTTCAGTTGATGACATGCTTGCCGCAGTTTGTGGTTCATCCACGGGGGCCAGTTAAATATGTATTCCTAACTGTAGTCGTTGATAGGCGTCTGCTATGTAAACTGTAACTGTAGCTTATACAGCCATGCCATTCATATTATAGCAGTGCCATAGTCTAAGTTTTAATTCTCCTCTTTCCTTTCAGAACCACATAGTCAATGTCATTTCTCACTGGACATTATTCTCAGTTATCTTAACCATGAGTGGTCAGCTGTGTGTGTGTGTGTGTGTGTGTGTGTGTGTGTGTGTGTGTGTGTGTGTGTGTGTGTGTGTGAATGTGAACATCTTCTTCCATTAAACTCCCCTTAACCTGGACATCCACTTTAGCCTTGTTCTGACTGGACATTCTCTAGTGGTTGTTACCGGCCTTAAGCCAGCACCTAAGGTTTCTTATTATATTCATGGTCCTTCGATTCTCTACAACCCTACCCCTATGTTTCACTTTCTGAAGGCACTGTATATCATGCCCCAAATCTCTCTTCAACTGATGTCTGGAGTTCATTGACTATTGATCGTGAAATGTCATCATCTTATTGGATTATCGGTATTGGACTGTGACATGACAAACTGATTAGTGATCACAACAGAGAGCCGATGTCATTTCTCTTGATGATAACTCAATTAACATACCAATCTAATATAATACAGAAATGTTTAAAGACCATAGTTCAATACCCTAGTCCTGACACGTACACCCATTTGACAGAGCAGAGACAAAGACGATGATTAAAAGCATAGCCTTCATTTTTAAAGAGAACTTTGATTATTTCTGTGTCCAACTTATGAAACGTTGGAAAACAGATCCAGTGAGCATGGCCGTCGCCCAAGACTGCCTGTTTATCCTGGCTCAGGGTTAGCATAACCCTGCACTGAGGAAATCAACATGAGCACTCCACAGCAAACTGATGACCGCTCCTCTCCTCTCCAGTAACACCCCGCAGGATGGAGGGGAGGAATTGGGACCAGGAGGAGATCAATACTGCAGCCTGCTAAGCTGAGCTCAGAGCCAACACAAACTCAGCCAGATATCCCACTCAGAGTTCAAATCAGCAGTCACCCACCTTACACATGGCATGGATTTAAACTATCAAAGGGGACCGAGAGAGCTGAGGGCCTATTTTAAGACAGACAGACAGACTGGTTGGCTGACTGACTGACTGACTGACTATAAAGGACTCTCTCAGGTGAAGTGTTCTACCATTTAATACCATTGGGATCTAGATGCTGCCACCAACAGCTTTGCTTCATGTCACAACACTTTATTACACAGTAAACTCTGTATGCATGAGAAAAGGTCATGTTTTACTACTGAGTGCAGACATGTGCCCACTGTTTAAGCTTACTCAATAAATTACCAGATATTACAGCCTGTGCTGATCACAGACCAAATCAAATCAAATTGTATTGGTCACATTCACATATTTAGCAGATGTTATTGCAGGTGTAGCGAAATGCTTGTGTTCCTAGCTCCAACAGTGCAGACCAGCAGACCAGCCTATTTAACCAATACTGAGACAATTTAACAGGACACTGCTTCTGAGAATACAATAATATGGCTGTGCTGCTGTCTGTCAAGTAAGATTTGTGGAGGACTATACAATCCCAATAAAATTATGATTATTCCGGTTCCTGAGCATTTCTAAAGAATAAAGTCTTATCACGTCACTAGGTGTGGATTCTCATCTTCACATATCTCCATGATGATGCTCACTGGAGCCATCAGGGCAGTATCTGTCACTGGGAGGAAGGAATGCTCCCGACATCTCTTCACTGCCAAAGCTCGGAAGGCCTGTATTTGCTGCTGCTGCTTTTCCTGAAGACATAGACTCAGACATCCATTCAGCTGCTGAACACATGTAGCTACACATTGCTCCTTTCCTACGAGGGCTGGAGCCTTTGGAGGTTATGGAGAGGCGGTAGAGGGGGGGTGGTGTCTGTGGTGATGGTCAAGGGGCGCATTAGGAGTTCTGCATATTATAGAAGAGCGCACCGTGGGACGATGTGAATCAATCATATGAGGCCAATGACACTCAACCACTGGAAACAATAAGCCAACAGTGGCCATTTATAGATGGCCCCTGATGCGTCTGAAATGACTGAGCTGTTTAGGGGTAAACATGCTCTACTGAACAGTTGGTACACATATCTTTGGGTTTACATCTGAAGGAAGGGATGGAAGGAGGGAAGTAAACAAAGAGGTGGTGTATCCTTTTTTCTGCTTGGGGAGTTGGATGTTTAATTACATACAAACAATTTACATTCTGGTTCACTGTAAACCGTTCTCTTCAAAACTAATTCAGTGTAGAAGACATTTGTTAGCAGTCCTCAGGTCATTCGTGCTAAGTAGCACCATACTGTAAAAGTTATAAAACTGTAATATTGAACGCAGCTGAAGACTGTACTTTGATCTGCAATCAAATTCCATAGATTAAATCCTTCTTTGCCATTCAGAACTTCAGAATGAAGGCCAATAACTTAGAATGGACATTAACTTTGTGCCTGTGTCTTTGCTCCAGACCCTGTCCTGACATTCAGCTGTTGAGGGTATAAATCACTTCCGGCCTAAACATCCCCTCATCCCCTTCCTCTCAGGCCCAGACTCCAGACGTGTTTGTGCATCAGCGCTGGCTATTTTGTCTTTGTTTGTAATTAGAGCATGGCCTCCCACAGCTATATGTTGTCATGCATCAGAGGGGGCTGGTCTCACACATCCATTACGCCACTTAAAGACCACAGGGGGAACTTGGATGTGCCTCCAGGGCTTTTCCCCACACTGCCTTGTGTGTGGCACTGTTTTCCCTTTATCTTCTGGCTCTGGTACAGTCCCAGGCCGTTAAAGCACAAATGTACCCTTTAAAAACACAAACCAGTAATACCAGAAACAAATGGCATGGGCACTTGTTTGGGCATAGAGAACCCCTACTGATCTCCTGAACTGCACTTTTGGGAAATATTGTGAGACATCAATAAGAAAACATTGACTTTTACTGTGTCTAACTCATAACACCACGTCTGTCATACATTTCCTGAGTAGTTTTACTCTTACAGCTGCAGTAAATATGACTTTGTGTGTCCTATTGCATGATTAGCAAATTCTTTACGCATTATAAACATGTCTTTGAAACAAACAGAACACAGGTCCCCTATTTATTAATTTGGAGTTGATGCTCCACTTACTCTTGGTGAGTGTGTCGTTGATTCGGAAACTGCACAGGACCTTATCAACATTCCGAGCATGGAGGAAGCCATTTCCTCTAACCACCACCTGGAAAGTTTCTGGAGAGGGAAGAGAGAAACGACAGCAGCATTACAAATTAGATAAAGGAGAGAAAGCAATTATTTGTGTCCTTAGTACAGTAGTTTAGTTGGGACCAGGTCTGGGTTGAATCGTTCATGACAAATGAAGTTGCTACTAATGTGTGTAGGAGATATTTACTACACACCAGGCTGCTGGCCCTGCCAAGGTAGATTGGTTTTCTCATCCTGTTGTGCGCTCCAATGTGAGCGGGCCTTTAAATGTCTGATTAGATGAAGACCTGAGAGGCCAGAGAGGATAAATGCGGAAGGCCAGAGGTCTATAAACCTACCTCCTGCACAGATACTGGAGGGCTCCGCCGCCAGGATCTCAATACAGGACTTCTTTAAGATCTGGGGGAGAGAGGTGAAAGGTGAGAATGAGTAAGGGAGACAGTTGGGCATTGGGCCAAGGTCTGGCTTGTTACAGAGTGTTGTGTGTTGCTATGTTGAGAGTATTGGTTTACTATATAATCCCTATACTCCTTTTACTGGCAATTACAGTGTGTACCTGTGCACCTCATTTATATGATCTGCTTGATGTCTCCTGTGTTCTGGGTGTACATCTCTCTCTATACCCCCACTATCCAGAGAAAGTATGTGTTGTATGCCTGAAGATCAGTTTGATTTACTGCATGCTGTCCTGCTTCCATGAGTCTGAGCCAGCAGCTTTCAGCATGCTGTTAATGGGCTCCAGATGACAGTCAACTTGTCTGACTGACCTCTAGCTCTGTTAGAGGAACTCCGTGCCCTGGGTGACAATGGCCTCTCCACGACTCTCCTTGTCTTTCATTCCTCCGCTATTTAAATCGTTTCAGCGGATACAAAAATATAAGTCAATACCTTTGAGGTGGAAGCTATAATGAATGAATGCATACACTTTGATCCTGTTTGGTAGTCTCCACTAGCTTGGATCAAAAGATGGGAAGTCGGAGTCACAGCAGGTTTTCCTGGAATTCTGTTCCTAGTGAGTTTTGATGGATGGAATATGTTTATTGTTTTCTTTAATCCTATTCTCCCTTGCTTCCTATTTGATTAATGTGTTAATGGTTTTAGAGATGTACTGCAGTGAGAATTATTGAACACCATCTCTGGATGGATGGTACAGTGTGCATATTAAAGATGTTGTTATTCTCGCCTTCCCACTGGGCAAAGACGTCAGTTCAAAGTCTAATTTTGGTTAAGTTGTCATCAACAAAAAATGGCACTATGACATTGGATTTAGGTTAAAAGTTGGGTGAAAGAAATATGAAATTCCCTTACGTTGATGACGTTTAGCAAATCCAATCATTTTTTTACGTTGATTCAACGTCATCACATATAAAAATACACATTTCAAATGACGTGGAAACAACGTTGATTCAACCAGTTTTTGCCCAGTGGGTTCCTTGTGTTAGTAGTCAAGTCTGAACCTCTTACCGAATCAATGACCCCCTGCAGTGCTTCAAAGCCATCGTTCACTGGGAAGACATGGTCCTTGCTATCAGCAATCTTTGCCAGCTGAGGAAGAGAAAAAAGTATCATACCGTTCTACACACCCACCAACCTCTTTTCCATCTTACGTTTGGGATACAGTTTGAGACCATGTCAAATCAGAGCACAATGAAGCAAGATGTGTCAACACACCTGTGTCTCATTGAAGTCCTTCACCCCCACGCAGTATACTGAGGCACCCAGACTCCGCGATCGGTTGGCCTGTCAGGTATTCACAGAGGAGCAAAAACAGGAAAGACTGTCGACACCTGTAATCTATCAAAGCACTGCATTGCACGACATCAATCAAAACACAACCACTGATAACACTCCGGAAATCTACACTTAGAAAGAAAGGTGCTATCTAGAACCTAAAAGGGTTATTCGGCTGTCCCCATAGGAGAACCCTTTGAAGAACTACTTTTGGTTCCAGCTGAAGAACCCTTTTGGAACCCTTTTTTCTAAGAGTGTACTTTGGACATGTTGTGACACTGATGTGTAGATTTGACTAATAGCTAAGACATAATACAGCAATGACTTCTTGCTGACTGATATTTAATATCGTTTCTAAAAATAATTAGACGTTGAAGGAAACCCTTTATTGGCTATAGCCTGTAGACTAGAGCCAATAGAGCCCACGAGCCAAATGTTACATTTCATGAACATCTGAAAGAAGGCCCTACAGAGCTGAGCTTACAATATTATTCAATATGAGTGACAGCAAGAAGCTTCAAACTATTGTTCCGAGGCTTCCTGTTCAGGGTAAGTGACACTTTTCCCACACATTTTGAAAGCTACTGAGAGAGATATCAGCCTCACTTCATCAATGTCTGTGGCTGGCCTTGCTGTCTGTATGTGTCCAGGGGTGTTTAGAACTGATTAAAAAGCCCCAGCTTTGCACGCCTTCTGCACCTGCACTCCCAATCCCAGCCCAGTCTGGGGGGATAAATCATTGGTTCCTTTTGCAGATGTGTGGCGAATGACTGGGCCTTCTTAATTCACTAGGCAGATGGGAGAAATAAATCTGACAGACGCTTTGACCCCCTTTCCCTTCTCTGAAAAGAGGGGATCAAAGTGTTACTGAATACGGTGCTGGTGTTTGATCTGTGCCCACAGGAGCGCCAGTTCTGTTTACAATTTGTGGTCTTGTCGCTCGCTCTCTCGCTCTCTCGCTCTCTCCCTCTCTCCCTCTCAATTCAATTAAATTCAAAGGGCTTTATTGGCATGAGAAACGTATGTTTGCATTGCCAAAGCAAGTGAAATAGATAATAAACAAAAGTGAAATAAACAATAAAAAATAAACAGTAAACATTACACTCACAAAGGTTTCAAAGGAATAGAGACATTTCAAATGTCATATTATGGCTATATACAGTGCTGTAACGATGTACAAAAGGGAAAATGTATTTACAATGGTGTTTGTTCTTCACTGGTTGCCCTTTTCTTGTGGCAACAGGTCACCAATATTGCTGCTGTGATGGCATACTGTGGTATTTCACACAATAGATACTGTATGTGAGTTTATCAAAATTGAAAAAAAAAATTGAGTTCTTTGTGGGTCTGCGTAATCTGAGGGAAATATGTGTCTCTAATATGGTCATACATTTGGCAGGAGGTTAGGAAGAGCAGCTCAGTTTCCACCTCATTTTGTAGGCAGTGTGCACATATCCTGTCTTCTCTCTCAATAGCAAGGCTATGCTCACTGAGTCTGTACATATTCAAAGCTTTCCTTAATTTTGGGTCAGTCACTGTTTAGGGCCAAATAACATTCTAGTTTGCTCTGTTTTTTTTTTGTTAATTCTTTCCAATGTGTCAAGTAATAATCTTTTTGTTTTCTCATGATTTGGTTGGGTTCTAATTGTGTTGCTGTCCTGGGGCTCTGTGGGGTCTGTTTGTGTTTGTGAACAGAGTCCCTGGACCAGCTTGCTTAGGGGACTATTCTCCAGGTTCATCTCTCTGTAGGTGATGGCTTTGTTATGGAAGGTTTGGGAATTGCTTCCTTTTAGGTGGTTGTAGAATTTAACAACTATTTTCTGGATTTTTATAATTAGTGAGTATTGGCCTAATTCTGCTCTGCATGCATTATTTGGTGTTTTACGTTGTACACTGAGGATGTTTTTGCAGAATTCTGCATGCAGTCTCAATTTGGCGTTTGTCCCATTTTGTGAATTCTTGGTTGATGAGCGGACACCAGACCTCACAACCATAAAGGACAATGGGTTCTAAAATTGATTCAAGTATTTTTAGCCAGACCCTAATTAGTATGTCACATTTGATGTTCCTTTTTATGTTCCCTTCTTGCCTTGTCTCTCAGATCACAAAGTTCACAGCTTTGTGGAAGTTACCTGTGGCGCTGATGTTTAGGCCGAGGTATGTATCGTTTTTCTGTGAGGTCTAGGGCAACGGTGTCTAGATGGAATTTGTATTTGTGGTCCTGGCAACTGGACCTTTTTTGGAACACCATTATTTTTGTCTTACTGAGATTTACTGTCAGGGCCCAGGTCTGACAGAATCTGTGCAGAAGATCTAGGTGCTGCTGTAATCCCTCCTTAGTTGGGGACAGAAGCACCAGATCATCAGCAAACAGTAGACATTTGACTTCAGATTCTAGTAGGGTGAGGCCGGGTGCTGCAGACTGTTCTAGTGCCCTTGCCAATTGGTTGGTATTTATGTTGAAGAGGGTGGGGCTCAAGCTGCATCTCTGTCTCACCCCACGGCCCTGTGGAAAGAAATGTGTGTGTTTTTATTTTTATTTTAACCACACACTTGTTGTTTTTGTACATGGATTTTATACTGTTTTTCCACCAACACCTCGTTCCATCAATTTGTATAGTAGACCCTCATGCCAAATTGAGTCAAAAGCTTTTTTGAAATCAACAAAGCATGAGAAGACTTTGCCTTTGTTTTGGTCTGTTTGTTTGTCAATTAGGGTGTGCAGGGTAAATACGTGGTCTGCCGTACCGTAATTAGGTAAAAAGCCAATTTGATATTTGCTCAGTACACAGTTTTTGCATTTTTCATCAAAACGTTTGTCATTGTTGTTAATGTTCTTAGGTTGTCTGCTTGACATTTTTAGATTTGATAGGGAAGCTGAGAGGTCAAATACTGTATACTGTTTAGGTTTTCTACAGCCAAGTTTACACCTTCACTATTACAGTGAAACGTTTTGTCCAGGAAGTTGTCTAAAAGGGATTGAATTTGTTGTTGCCTACTTGTTTTTTGGTAGGTTTCTACACTAATTTCCTTCCATCCATAGCATTTCTTAATATTATGCAGATCCTTTGGCTTTGATGCCTCATGATTGAGTTTTGCTCTGTTCAAGTAGACTGTGATTTTGCTGTGATCTGATAGGGGTGTCAGTGGGTTGACTGTGAACGCTCTGAGAGACTCTGGGTTGAGGTCAGTGATGAAGTAATCTACAGTACTACTGCCAAGGGATGAGCTGTAGGTGTACCTACCATAAGTGTCCCCTCGAAGCCTACTATTACCTATGTACAGACCCAGTGTGCAACAGAGCTGCAGGTTGTTTTTGTTGGTTGTTTTGTCATAGTTGTGTCTAGGGGGGCATATTTGGGCGGGAATGCTGTCACCTCCAGGCAGGTGTTTGTCCCCCTGTGTGCAGAGAGTGTCAGGTTCTTATCCAGTTCTGGCATTTAGGTCACCACAGACTAGTACATGTCCCTGGGCCTGGAAATGGTTGATCTCCCCCTCTGGGATGGAGAAGCTGTCATCGTTAAAGTATGGGGATTCTATTGGGGGATATAGGTAGCATACATGAGGACATTTTTCTCTGTTGAGATAATTTCCATATTAATTTCTAGCCAGATGTAAAATGTTCCTGTTTTGACTAATTTAATAGAGTGGGTTAGGTTTGCTCTATCCCAAATTAGCATACCCCCTGAGTCTCTTCCCTGTTTCACACCTGGTAGTTTGGTGGATGGGACTACCAGCTCTCTGTAACCTAGAGGGCAACCAGTGGGTCTGTTTCCTCTATATCATGTTTCTTGTAGGATGACCATGTCTGTATTTTCAATTTCTTTGATAAAGTCTGCTCTTTAGGCCAAAGGCAGATGACCTCAGACCTCTCTCTTTCTCTCTCTCTTTCTCTCTGTCTCACACAATTTAATGCAATTAAATTAAATTCAAAGGGCTTTATTGGCATGGGAAACATATGTTTACATTGCTAAAGCAAATGGAATAGACAGGCTGTGCTTACCTCCCTCTCAGCATAGTAGAAGAGGTCCTCATGCAGCTCCCCATCTGTGAGAGCTATGATGACACTGGCGGTACGGTATCCTATAAACAGACACAAAACCTTTGATTAGGATCTAAATGCTGCCACAGAGCTATTAAAATAATCATAATGGTAGACCAACATATATACTTGAGAAATTAATATATGATGCAAGACGTATAGCAGGAATCAATTGAAATGTTTTTTATTGAACTACACACCTTCAGAGTTTCCATAGTATATCTGCTCACTGGCCTGTAAAAGAAGAGGAATTGGATTGAAACAGTACACTGGCTAGAGCTGTCCTGTGAATAAAGTAACTATTCCATACTGATACAGGTACCATTTTGTCTCTGAACCATGGTCTTTGTTCATGAGCCAGAATGGAGATAGATTCCAGCTCAAAACTCAGCTAAAAGCAGACAGCTCACCCTCTGGATGCCCTCGTGCATAAAGGTGTCTCCACCTGGAAGTACCCTCTGGAGCTCCTCCAGACCTTTGCGAATCTTCTCCCTGAGCAAACAGACCAACAGACAGATGAGAGGGCAGTTCATATTCATCATGTATCATCCCTCACCCTGCAGAAGTCCCTGTCTCATAGATATAACTGCAGCTACAAAGCTATGCAAACCGTAAATTACAAGACCTAAAAGAAGACGTAGCTATAGGTATTGACGTAAGAAGAGTCATAATAGTTATAAATGTGGGTGACGTGCTACTATTAAATCATACTGTCAAACTAAAACGTTGGGTACAGCATTAAACTACATGCATGCACGCCCATAATCTTGAATGACAAGTGAGTCGCTTTAAGCACTAGAAATAGAACTGTGCATTAATATTTAACAGATTTTATTTTTGACTGTTTTCTTGTACAATGCAGTCTTCTCCCTAAACTAAATGCAGACATGAAGTGACAAAAACTATTGTTTTTAATAAGCACAGAAACAAAGACCTATCATGATCTATTTATTGAAGTGGCATTCCATTTCAGAGAGTAGTGATGGGCTTTATATGTGCTTCAGATTTAAGAGATCAAGCTGAGATTTGGGGATCTATTGCCACAGGACACTGTCCAGCAGAGAATGAGGAAATGAGTCTTGTGTAAAATGAGATAGCAGGATGACATTGAAAACGTTTCAGTGCCTGTGTGGAAACTGTTCCTGAAGAAAGATTAGACACATATGCAACACATGATATATTATGAGCCACATGCTGAAGCGTACAGTTTGCCAAGGGATTGACAGCATTGTCGGTTGAGCTCAATGTGAGGGTATTGTGATTAGTTTTTTTATGTCTCTAATTCAATTAAACAAATCCTGCATGTTTCTCTGGTTTCTGAGTTCTTGATAATCAACTCAGTTCAGAATCAGCAAATACCTGATATCTTGTGCAGATGTAATACCCAAATCCTAAGAAAGAAAGATTGTTCCCTTACCTGTCCTCTGTAAGCTGCATCAAAATCCTTCCCTCAGTGGAGAACACAATGAAGGACATGCGCAGCTGTGGACTGGAGAGAAATGAGCAATACCCAGACCATTTAAATTAACGTTATCTCTGTTGTCAGTACACTAACAATCATAACAAGCAATGAAATACATCATACACACACCATGTGTGGTTAATTGGTTTATTTTCATTACATGGTCTTTAAACAATGTGGGACAAACTATTCTCACCTTATGAACTTGTGAGCCAGATGTTCCACAAAGTGATAGATTTCAACCCAGTGGTGCTGCACACTCCCAGATCTACAAAAAGAGATGAAATGTTGATGAGGAGTTTTGCATAACAGAGTCTGGAGGAAGTTGAGAGGTTAAGGTATCTGATTGTGAAAGGGAGTCAGGGGAGTCGAATTGTACTTTATCTGTAGAAAGGCAGCATCTGCCATTAAAAATGTTCACTATTATGTGGATCCTTCTCCACAGTCAAATAGTGTTTGACACAAAGGCTTGAATGTGCATAAAATATGTACACCAAACCTTTACACTAATCAACTAACAGAAAATAGATATCTACTCAACTTTGTGCTACTTCTTTTGCACATCATGCTGTAACCCCACCTACTGTACACATTTCATCCTATCTAACCATTACAGTTTGTGATTATATGTTTATCTAGGCTGCATGCAGTCTTTCCCTGCCTGTGTGTAATTGCTATACAGATCCTCAAGCTGTCTGGCTCCACTTCTGTAGCAACACTCCGGCCTGTATGCTCTTCCTCCCCGAAAATGACGGCATTGCTTCAGAAGCACCCATTCCATTAGAACACGCAACTTTGGTTGAAGAGCAACAATGTAGTGTATAACACTGATTGATTTATTAGATAGTTGCCATCTTTGGACTGCCCCAATGATCTCACGCTGATGCGGAGCAGTGACATCATTCTTCTCAGATTACTGTCAATGTCTTTATAATGCAGCCCCAGTAAAAGTTAAAATATGGTTGCATTTCATTTCAATTTTGGTAATGTTCTAGGAACGTTCTCCAACTGGTTTGACATTGAAAAACAACGGTCTGTGGGAATTTCAGTACTTCAGCATAACGTTTCTTACAGGTTTCCTCATGGTTCTATTTAAAGTCATGTTCTCAAATTGTTCCAAGAACGTTAAGAAAACTTTAGTAACGTTCAGAGTATGTTATTTAAAAATGCTTTTTAAAAACATATACATTCCATTCTCAGCATTATCAAAACTCTCTCTATCCTCTATTTTGTTAAGTGTGTTCAGGTTTGTTGGCCTCGCCCATTAATTGGCCACACCTGAACTTAATCAGTGCTTGTTTCCTTTGAAACGGGGTATGTTTGAATAGACTAAAATGAACAGCTTTTTATGCGTAAATATGCCATGCTAACTCCATCCTGTTGGCATGGTGGACTATTCCATGGATAGAGAAAATACGATTATTGGTTTGAATCTCAATGATGCCGTGTCACAATAAAAAAGAAATGTTTTATTTTTATTTTATTTTATTTCACCTTTATTTAACCAGGTAAGCCAGTTGAGAACAAGTTCTCATTTACAACTGCGACCTGGCCAAGATAAAGCAAAGCAGTGCGATAAAAACAACAACAACACAGAGTTACATATGGGATAAACAAAACGTACAGTCAAAAACACAATAGAAAATCTATATACAGTGTGTGCAAATGTAGTAAGTTATGGAGGTGTCACACCCTGGCTCTGGGACTCTATATGTTGAGCCAGGGTGTGTTCATTCTATGTGTTCTGTTTCTATGTTGGGTGTTCTAGGTTGTGTTTTTCTATGTTGGCCTGAGTGACTCCCAATCAGAGGCAACGAGTGTCAGCTGTTGGCTGGTTGTCTCTGATTGGGAGCCATATTTAAACTGTCTGTTTTCCTTTTGTGTTTGTGGGTTCTTGTTCCGTGTTCGGTCATTGTCACCGTGGACTTCACGAGTCGTTTATTGTTTTTGTTCGTGCTTTAATATAATAAAGTACCATGTTCATTCATCACGCTGCGCATTGGTCTACTTCTCTCCCTGACGATCGTGACAGGAGGTAGGGCAATAAATAGGCCATAGTGCAAAATAATTACAATTTAGTATTAACACTGGAGTGATAGATGTGCAGAAGATGATGTGCAAATAGAGATACTGGGGTGCAAATTAGCAAAATAAATAACAATATGGGGATGAGGTAGTTGGGTGGGCTAATTACAGATGGGCTGTGTACAGGTGCAGTGATCGGTAAGCTGCTCTGACAACTGATGCTTAAAGTTAGTGAGGGAGATAAGAGTCTCCAGCTTCAGAGATTTTTGCAGTTCGTTCCAGTCATTGGCAGCAGAGAACTGGAAGGAATGGCGGCCAAAGGAGGTGTTGGCTTTGGGGATGACCAGTGAGATATACCTGCTGGAGCGCATACTACGGGTGGGTGTTGCTATGGTGACCAATGAGCTAAGATAAGGCGGGGATTTGCCTAGCAGTGATTTATAGATGACCTGGAGCCAGTGGGTTTGGCGACAAATATGTAGTGAGGGCCAGCCAACGAGAGCGTACAGGTCACAATGGTGGGTAATATATGGGGCTTTGGTGACAAAACGTATGGTACTGTGATAGACTACATCCAATTTGCTGAGTAGAGTGTTGGAGGCTATTTTGTAAATGACATCGTCGAAGTCAAGGATCAGTAAGATAGTCAATTTTACGAGGGCATGTTTGGCAGCATGAGTGAAGGAGGCTTTGTTGCGAAATAGGAAGCCGATTCTAGATTTAACTTTGGATTGGAGATGCTTAATGTGAGTCTGGAAGGAGAGTTTACGGTCTAACCAGACACCTAGGTATTTGTAGTTGTCCACATATTCTGTCAGACCCGCCGAGAGTAGTGATTATTGTCGGGCGGGTGGGTGCAAGCAGCGTTCGTTTGAAGAGCATGCATTTAGTTTTACTAGCGTTTAAGAGCAGTTGGAGGCTACGGAAGGAGTGTTGTATGGCATTGAAGCTCGTTTGGAGGTTTGTTAACACAGTGTCCAATGAAGGGCCAGATGTTTACAAAATCGTGTCGTCTGCGTAGAGGTGGATCTGAGAGTCACCAGCAGCAAGAGCGACATCATTGATATACACAGAGAATAGAGTCGGCCCGAGAATTGAACCCTGTGGCACCCCCATAGAGACTGCCAGAGGTCCAGACAACAGGCCCTCCGATTTGACACATTGAACTCTATCTGATAAGTAGTTGGTGAACCAGGCGAGGCAGTTATTTGAGAAACCAAGGATGATTAATGCATGATTCATTTCTATGTGTCCTATCTGTGCTTGGAGCTTAAAAGGGTTAACCCAAAATAAGCTAGCAGTGTTATTAAAAGTCTTATTGAAACATTCAGGGAAAGTTTTAAGAAAGTTATTTAAAAAACGTCCAAATAATCTATCATTTCTGTTCTCAGATCGTTAATTAAACCTCCCAGGGAAACTTTCAAGGAACTAGAGTAAAACGTTCTCAGAAACTCCCTGCAACTTAAAAATAAATGTTCTCAGAAAATGCAACATTTTCACTTCCGTTCCCAGAACCAATAGAATCCAAAAACGTATGTTCACACAACTTCCAAGGAACCAAATGTGCTAGCTGGGTTCTTAGCGGAGAGCAATTTCTTAAGCAATAATTTTGCTAGAGCTGTCTGGGAGTGGTCTGAGTGGTAAGGGGAAAACTGAAAACCAGCTGTTTGTCACGACTTCCTCCGAGGCTGCCTTCCCTCCTTGTTCGGGCAGGCTTCGGCGTTCGTCGGTAAAGGAGGTGCAGCGCTTTATTGGCTTTGCCAACTACTATCAGAGTTTTATCCGGGGATTTGGCAAGGTCGCATCTCCCATCACCTCTCTGTTGAAGGGTGGGCCGTCCCAGCTCCGCTGGTCTGCTGAGGCTGACAGGGCTTTCAGTAACCTGAGGGCTCTGTTCACCTCAGCCCCGGTACTGGTCCATCCCGATCCATCATTACCGTTTGTAGTGTAGGTGGATGCGTCCGAGGTAGGGATAGACACTGTCCTATCTCAACGCTCGGGCACGCCACCCAAGTGCTGCCCCTGTGCCTTCTTCTCCAAGAAGCTCAGCCCGGCAGAGCAGAACTACGACGTTGGTGATCGGGAGCTGTTAGCTGTTGTCAGAGCCCTGACCATGTGGAGGCACTGGCTCGAGGGGGCAAAACACCCTTTCCTCGTCTGGACTGACCACCATAACCTGGAGTACATCCGGGCAGCGAGGAGGCTGATCCCTCGCCAGGCCAGGTGGGCCCTGTTCTTCACCCAGTTTGATTTTACACTGTCATACATACTGGGTACAAAGAACGTGAAGGCAGATGCACTGTCACGGCTGTACGACACAGAGGAGAGGCCCATAGACAACACCCCCATACTCCCAGCCTCCTGCATTGTGGCGCCGGTAGTATGGCCGATGGACACGGACATAGAGTGGGCATTACGCACAGAGCCATCGCCACCTCAGTGCCCAGCTGGGCTGCGGTACGTGCAGTCTCTTGTCCGTGACCGTCTGATCTATTGGGCACACACGTCCCCCTCCTCTGGTCACCCAGGTATCGGCTATACAGTGCGCTGCCTGACCGGAAAGTACTGGTGGCCTACCTTGGCTAAGGACGTGAGGGTGTATGTCTCCTCCTGCTCGGTGTGCGCCCAGAGTAAGGCACCTAGGCACCTCCTAGCGGGTAAGTTACATTCCTTACCAGTTCCACAACGGTCAAGGTCCCACTTGTGTATTGACTTTCTCACCGATCTACCCCTCTCTCAGTGTAACACCACCATCCTGGTCGTTGTGGACCGCTTTTCGAAAGCCTGCCGCCTCCTTCCTCTGCCCGGCCACCCCACGGCCCTGCAGACTGCGGAGGACCTGTTTACGCATGTCTTCTGGCACTACGGGGTGCCAGAGGACATAGTGTCTGACCGGGGTCCCCAGTTTACATCCAGGGTCTAGAAGGCGTTCATGGAATGTCTGGGGGTCTCGGTCAGCCTGACCTCTGGGTTTCATCCGAGTCTAATGGGCAGTTGGAACGGGTGAATCAGGATGTGGGTAGGTTCCTGCGGTCCTACTGCCAGGACCGGCCGGGGGAGTGGTCGGTGTGTTCTTGCCATGGGCCGAATATGCCCAGAACTCTCTGCGCCACTCCGCCACTAACCTATCGCCATTTCAATGTGTTTTAGGTTATCAGCCGGTTCTGGCACTGTGGCATCAGAGCCAGACCAAAGCTCCTGCGGTGGATGACTGGTTTCGGCGTGCAGAGGAGACGTGGAACG